GCACCCTACTTAGAAACTGTAACTGTATCCCTCTCCTCAGTCCTGCCTTAAGGGACCATGTGTCACAGGATTTTTAACAAAAAGGGGTACCTGGTGTCTCAAAAAAAGATTTTCTTCAGCTAGGAAAATTAGCTACACTCAGACCTGCATTCAAATTTTCCTTGATTTCATCAGGAAGAGGAATTCTCAGTGTAGTTTCTGGGACCTCAGTTTTTGGTCTTAGTAGTTGCACAACAGTGTGAGATCACTCCTTCAAAAGTGAATCTTACAATTAAGTGCCAAAAAACTAAACTTTGTACGCATCAGATTGCCAAAATAAAGTAGAAAGAGAAATCAATATGTTCTGCTGAATGGGGCCTCTAGCAAAGTCATCTGACCAAGAACCAAAGGCCAATTGTATTGTTTCCCATTGTAGACAAAAGCCAGATGTTAGTGGCTTTTGTGACTAGTGGAAAAGGAGACTTAACCTTCTCCAATCACACCGTTTCTTCCTGCATCAACACACCTCCTGGAAGATTTCAGAGCTGTACTTCTGTATCATGTTAGACACACCTCTAACCTTCAATTGATTTAGACAGTCTTACAGCTGAACCACTCAACTAAAAGGCTAGTTTGAATATGGACAACGGTCCCTTTGAAGTATCTTTCAGCCCATTAACAGTTGGTGATTGTAGTGATTTTACTGCATATTGGAACCATTCCAAACATTTTGTCCGTTCTAATTATTCAGGCTCCAAAGATGGAGGGTGGGGCCCAACTCAACTGTACAGTTGTGTGTTGTTGTACATCACCAAAGATGCTGGACAGGAACAATCAACAGACATCACTGCGAAGGTCCAACACAGATGGGGCTCATTCTCATGTGTACTACAGAGGGTTAGGGGTGTTTTCTCCTTCGACAGCTGGTCTTGGAGTGGTGCCTTCACTACAACAATAGTCAGTGCTGCAAGTGAGGGGAAAAGTCTGAACCACGGTAGAAATTTATTGCTGGTCTGTGATGGTGACTTGGCTTGATTTCAACATTTTAACATTTCCAAAGAAAGACGTTTGATTGCAGATCGCAAATATATAAAGAAACAAAAAAGAAAACGGATAAAGAATTGTTTTTTATTTAGGTTCTTGACTAACACATATTGTCAAGTATTTGTGACTATAATGTAAACTTTTGGCTTCATGTGATCATTACAGTGTCAGTAATGATTTTGCAACATTATAGTAAAAAAAACAACAACACAAATTGAGTATGACTAAAGTATGACTAAAAAAAGAACAAACCAATGGGTTTGTTTTTTGTTATTTTCATAATTGAATTTGTTGGATAAACTTTAGATTCATCCAAAATAATCAAACCTAATCTTGCTCTGGCACAAACCTAGTAGAAATAATTAAATGTATTTCAAATTACTGCAAACTGGGGCAATCTTTTAGTCAACAATAAAGAAATGAAAAACATTATTTATTGGTGCTTTGACACTGTGCCGTCATTTTTCTCTGAAGTGGAAGTAAAATCCTTTGTAATAAAGCTTTATGGATGTGTACAAAATTATAGAAAATTTTTTTTCTGATAATAGCGTTGTACTTGAGTACTCACCAAAAGCCTTTGTGAAAGTGTGAAAATTAAAAAAAACTAATTAAATAACAAAATCTATATGAGATTTAAATGGTTTTCTCTAATGTCTCTTTTAAAATCCAGACACAAATTTAAAATAAAGACCCATCTGTCTGAGAGAAAATATTTCCAGGAAAGTGAATTGAATGAGTGCAGTGCAATCACAAAGATGTTTTGGACATCTGGATTCAAGTCAAAGCAAAGATAATAGTCCTCAGGCAAAGGGAAAGGGCAAAGTGCAGTCAGCAGTGACTGCGTGTCAACTTCCGTAGCCACACTACAGGAAACCATCATTCTTTAGTGTTTACAGGTGCCTGGCTGTCTGTGTAATATGGGAAATGTGCAGTGTTTTCATTGGTTCACAGGAAATTAAAAGTGACTGAGGTTATGACAAAGACAATCTTAAAAAAAAATCATATCGTTGTGCCGGGATTCCTCTTGTGTGTGAGGCATTGCTGCTCAGTTCAGCATTGTTTACCATCTGCTCAGACTGCTGCCCATCTGAGCGAGGCCTCACTGGAGACATACATACATGCCTTCAGCTCCTCCGGGGTAAATAAATGAGATGTACGATGTGGTCCAACTGTCACGGCACACTTGGGGTTAAAAGGAGGGGGTCTGCTGAGTGTGACGGGGGCCCCACAGCCCTCACCCTCGCTGCATCCCCTGCCCCTCAGAGGCCATGTTATCAAAACCCCATGGTGGGGGTAGATCTAGCTGCTCCTGTCACTGTCCAGTCAAGCAGGTGTATTCTTGCACTTGTCTCCCTCTGCCTTGATCTATGACCCTCCCTGCCATCACCCCTCCCCTCCCCATTCTTACTCACCCACCACTACTGAATACACACAGAGGTCCTATTAATCCCATTATGCAAATGAAAGTTGTAAATCACACAGGGTTTTCTCTCCCCCCCATCATCACTCCCGTTTTAAGTCATTCCTCTACGTTTCTCACCATGACGCCACCACACAGGGTTTTCCTGCTATTTAATTAAATGAGAGCAGCAGGGCTGGCCCACAGCAGGCACAGGAAGAACTCTTGCCAAAAGCTTTTTTTAGGGGGATAGGTTGTGATATGGCGTGGGATTGGGGTGTTTCAGCTGGCAGTGACAGACTGGCAGCCATAATGGAGATGACACAAACTGGGGTAGTTGGCAGAGAAGCTTTAGTAACAAGGATGGAGGGATGGCTGTATGAAGGTCACTGATGAACAATCAAATGTCTCCTCTTCTCCAACATCTGTTCAATATCAACACCTGTGATAGTTGTGCTCCCCAACAAACTACAGTTAATTATAAGCACACAGCACTAAAAGTACAACAGTGTGTTTAGTTCACGACATAAATAACTCTGTTCTTGTCAGATTTTTTAAAATTATCATTCTATTCATACCGTACGTTTACTCAGCCAGGGTCTAGAGGTCTTCTCCTTCTAATCACTCACTGATGTTCCATCCCACACAAAGGGCATTTGTTCTCATTACAGACACTCGGGCTCAAAGTAGAAAAACTCACCAGGCAAATGCATAAATTATACATAAACAAATACTAGACTTAATCCACTGCTGCAGGGCAAATATTCCCACTACCACAACCATCACCAGCGCCTAGTGCCCAATCAGCACCACATTCCCAACCCCCTACTGCTCTCATAAAATTGCCATAAATTAGTGACAGCTGATATAATCCGCCAAAAGCATCATTCATCATTTTAACTAGTATAAACAACCCTGGTAAATAATGAGAAGCAGTTACCTGGAAGTTCCCCTCCATGTGCTACATTAATCTTCCCTAGGTTGTTTCTTTTATCCCCATGTCATTCTATCCTTTGCCTACTCTGCTGCTATACCAACCATGGTTATGTCTTCCATCAAGGTCCATGAATCTCCTCTGGGGTCTTTTTGTTTTCAGTTTAGTTCAATATTTCCACTGTTTCTCTTCAGAACAATCCCAATCTCAACTGCCATGAAAAAATATTCTGTTTGTTTGTTTGTTCGTTTTGCCAACTACATTTCTGAATTTGACAATGCACTAGAGCAGATCCTCAGTTTACGACGTCCTCAACCTACAGTGTTTTGTGGTTACGTCGCATCTCCCGTATCATTATTAAGAAAGTCTTGTTCCATCATTGTGACGTATAACAAATTTTATGCGGATCTACTTGCCTTGCCTTGCTGCTCTATACGAGGAAGACGGCTTTGTTTACATACACTAGTTGTAAGCCATGTTGGATTGTGCTGCATTTGCTTTCTCTTGTTTGTGTTGGGTTTTTTTTGGAAACTTTCTGGCCTTCATTTTGGTTCCAAAGCATGAGTCGGACTCTTCTGATGGCAGTGCTCCGACTCATCTGCCCTAGTTTTGTCAACACCTTGTCCAGGTTCTGCTTTTCCAACCTCCTCCCCCAGTAGCCTAGTGTAAGCCTGTCTCTCTCCCCTTTGCAACATCTAATGTACAAGCCAACAACAGGAGAATAGTCAAGGGTTCATATATATTGTTCATTGTACGATTTTATTACTGTGTTAGCGTAGGTCACTGACATAGGTACTTGTGAGTTCTGACTTTACATTGCTCCATAGGAACAGAATATGTTAAGGATTCTGTGTAATCAACTTCGGCCCAAACTTGGAGGATGAGGAAACGTCTATTTGTTACTGACAGGAAGTCAGTTGTACTTGAATTTTAAAACTTGCTTGTCACAAAAACTACTGATATGGTTCTATGTTTTGCCAGAGAACAACATATAAACAGAGTCAAGGCAGATCCTGCCAAATCCAGGCCATGTGCATGTAAAATTGAAATAGTTCCACTGTCACAGCATCACATAGTGGTCACAGTATGTTCTATTAGTTAGAGGATCCAGCCAGAAGGTATTACTCAAATGCCTTCTGTGAAATTTAGATGCTTTACCAGATGTGATGTGTGTCACAGCCATGCAATGAAGTTATGCAGTGGGAGAGAAGTGAATAAAGTGCTGGGACTTTTCTATATGCTGTTGAACACAGATGACGCTACAGTCATCAGTAAAGGTCTCAGGTTCTGATGATGTTTGCAACCACTACTTTTACAATGTTCCAGATGTGTTAACGATTACGATTATTAGAGTCCAAATCACTTAAGAATGAGCGCAGTCTGACCTTATAATGGGCCTGGCCTGGGCTCAAGTAGCTTTTCACATGGGCAAACAAACATGTGAATGAAAGCACATAACTGTGAGGGATGGAGAACAGCTGAAATTAAGCTGCTCTGTGCAGCAGTTGTGAGTTCTGCGGGACACACCAGGGACTACACTGTGGAATCCAAGATTTTTGCTACGCATACACACTTGACAGATTGTTTGGCGCACACACACACACTTAGTCTCACCAGACACACACTCCGCGACCACCCACTTACCCTTTGCGCTGGTCCTGCATGGTTCGGAAGACATGTGACATCTGCTTCAGGACTGGTCATCAGAATTCAGACTGCAGCCAAGGTCACTGTGTGGACAAACGGTTAAAACATTGTCCGTCAAAACCATAATGGAAAAATCTGGAAAATTGCATTTTGGGATTATTACATCCTCTAAAGAAATGATGTTTTTGGATGCATTCGTCTGTTTGCCTTTGAGTAGCATAATTCAAAAAGTGAAGAGTGGACTTTAAGGACATTTTCTGGAGATGTACTTTGTAGCCTCAAAAAGAAATTATTGGATCTTCGTGGTGTTTTGAACCTTGTAAAACAGGACAGTACATTGATACTGTGGGAATCTCAGCAGCATTGGCATAAGTTTGGACTTTCTTAGTACGGACTCTGCTTCTCATTGTCAGTGCACATTTAAATGATTTGGGCTACAATTCACTAACCTGATCTCCAAATACTGGTATTTTAAAAAGCATACACTAAAAGAGACTTCTCTTCAACTGATCATTGTGTAAAAAGATACAATAAAATAAATACACTCAGGTAAAGTGAGGCCACACACACACAAGTATTGCTTTGTGCTAAATATCAACATAAAAATGATTCAATATTCACAAAAGTTATTAATTGAAAACAGAGAGTAAAATAAAAGGCTTTCACTTTAAAGATACAGTAGGTAAAAACATAGGATATATCAACTTCCAGTACACACAGCAAAGTATTTGTGGCGCAGATCTGGCACATATCATTTTTCTATTCTGACCATGTAGTTGGGGGAATAATAGCATTTGGGTGGTCTGCGGCCCTCTGCCCACAAATGACCAGCCAAATGATCCAAAGAACAGAACCGATCTAAACACACGGCACTATGAATAAAGTCCAGACTACTACGTGACTGTCTCCCATAAAAGGTCAGATTGTTACAATGCATGTAGCGCAATATTTTATTTTTTATTTCAGATGTGGACCACTGTAAACTCAAAGCTATTTTATCCAGGCCAGATTGAGGTCAGCATTGTGGCATTTTGTACCCGACGTAGCTATGTTTAGGCTGTTTGTCTGGGAAAAGATAAAATTTGACATTGTAAATGGATGAATTACAAACTTAACCACACAACAAGAAGACACATTCATCGTGTGACAATACAGTCTGACTGATGCATTCTCTGGTGTATTCTTTGTTTTTAGCTTTACATTGTAGGTTTCCCCATGTGTGTTTTCCACATGCACTCCCTCCTTTCATGCATTTACTAGTTTCACTTGTGTCTTGTTAGATTCCATCTTTGGTTTGTATAATCCCCCTGGTGCCTTTTCTTCACCGTACATTTATTTATTCTGTGTGCTTTACAACTTAAACCTTTGTTCTTTTGTACTTCTAGTAATGGTAGTTTGGTTTTTATGTATGTTTCGTTTTTCTTTTTTTTGAGTAAACCATGGCAGACAAAACTGGCACCCAACATCCACAAAAATATTACTGAAAACCGAAAACATTTAAACCAAGTCCAACTTAAACCACTGACCACAGGTCATTTAAAGTCCACAGGTCGTGACATTTACATGTTTGATCTTTTAGAGAATAGACCTCACCAATGTTTAGATAAGTATCTTGCTGCACTGTGCAAGAAGGAGACCAGAGAACAGGACATGTCTACACCTCCATGTTATGACATGCAGTAGAGATATTTGCCATCTTTAGACCACACTTATGTGTGACTCATATAATTTATCAAGTCAAGGAAATAAGACTCAGACACGGTTTATACTGTGCGTAGAATAAAAAATCCCAGCGCATACATGCCAAAAAAGAAAACTGCTGTTGTACGTGTGTGATCTTCAAGCATTAAGGCTCTTTGGCATTAAAAAAAGCATCTTTACACTGTGATCCATACTGTCTCATGGATTTGGGACAACTGTACAGAATCACTTCAAATCTTTAGTCTTGACATGTCAAACACAGAAGTGAATTAAGTAAATTCTTATTGCCGTAACAACTGCTCACAGCCAGTCAAGTCTAATCTAATCAACTGCAATCTACAGGATCGACTATCAGATTTCTGTGAATTATTTCTGAGCAAAAATCATTCTGTTTATGGACTATTATACATGGTTCCAACTCTGCAAAATTGACAGACTGTAGTTGATCGCTTTATCTTTAACCACAGTTGCCAAGTGTTCATCACGTCACACAACTCTGATGTCACTGCTCTATCTACGATCTGAAGGGATCTTTTTTTTCATCTGCAACAACGAAAAAGTGATCACAGCAGATAAGTTCGCCTTTCTGCCTTTTGCTTAACTCCACAGTTTTCATTTACAGATGGTTCTAATAGTCATCAGCCACAAACACAGTTTGAATAAAAACCAGTCGGATGCAAAAAGCAGCAGAAGACAATTTACAAAGAGATTTTTTTGAAGCCCTGCTCAGACGTGTTCCATATGTTTGAATTAAACACACGAGCTCGTTCCAGCAGTTTGACTGATGCCACAGTCAGTGTCTCTCTGCTAAGTGAAGTCACTGCAGGTGAGAAAGTGACCTGGGAGCGATAACAGCTACCAACCATATTGATTACCAATTAACACCATAAAAAGAATCTACTGGAACATTGGCATGTTGGTTATTTAATCAATCCAACAGGATTATCAGAGCCGTTTTTATTGATAGATCTCAGCCACAGCACTGGACAGTGTCAAACAAACATTCACTGGTCATTACTGCTGCTCCCACGGCCTGTGACAAATTAACTGTGAGTTTCACAGCAGTTGTCCAACATTACTGCTGAGAGCCTTGTAAATCCATGGTTGTTATCGCTGTTGAGGAAGGACGGTTGATGTTCACAACAGACTCACTGATCAAAACACTCAGACAGCTCTTGTCTGCTAAGCCCTTGAATGACGAGGAGGAAATGGAGCAGCAGAAAATTGACAAAATTATTTCTGAGGCTGAGTAATTTGCAATGTCCAGATTTTCATTTATCAAATAATATTACTTGTGAATTTAAATGCATCGCAATATATTTGCAGATGCTTGTCCTTTGTTGTCTGAAACCAGAGGACAAGGCCAGTGAAAACTCACCTACATTCATTAGCTCATAATTAGGTTGATTTGCAGTAGCAGTTTAACAGTCTAGATCAGGGTTGCCCACACTTTTCTGTCCTTAGGAGCTACTATTTAAAGGACCAAGCTAAAGTGATCTACCTAAACTGAGAACATTAAATATATATCCACTCACATAAACTGATCCCACTTTACATATACATTACACAGTATGTTGGATTTCTGAATAAATGCATGTAGCTGTATGGTACAATATGATTCAATTCTTACAGTATATGTCACTACTAAACATTATAGAATTATACTTAAAAAATATATTTTTTAATTTGTCCTGATATATGATCTACTGTTAGAATACTTAGGAACCCAACTGGCACAGTATTTTTGCAGTTTTGCACTACACAGGGTATTAAAAAAAACAAAAAACCTGCAAAATACTGCTGTAATTTAGTGGACAAAGGCAGTGGAGAGACAGAGAGGGTAAAAAAGCAAAGCTGTGATTTTCTCTCTTCACTCTCTCCATACGTCTCCTTTAATTGCTGTTAGTCAGAGCAAAATGACACCGCAGCAGGTAAAGTGGTCAGCCACCTGCCAGTCTCTGAGTCATGTCAGTCTGGACTGCAGAAAAGCTCCAAATAGAGAGACAGTCCAGACAGCGTGATGAGAAAATAACCAGTCACCTGTGACAACGGTTCAGTGCTGGTCTGACAAATCACGCTGCGGTCAACACACACAAAACACACTCATGATTTGTCCAGAAATAAATGGACAGGAGCTGGTTGTCATTAACCTGTTTTGTGTCAGAAACCTTTTATAAAGCATAAAGAAAAAATTCTGAAGGCCAAATGCAGGCCAGTGCTCCAGTAATAAGTCGGGAACTAAAGAAATACAGCTAATTTAAGACTAGCTCAACATTGTAATTGGGTTGTATTCGAAACTGAAGCTTAGCTTTTTTGTTGTTTTACTGAAAATGCATTAAGAGGAAAATATTCGTAAAACTCTACGAATACAGTATGCATTGCTGGTTTTATTAGATGATTAAATTAACAAAAAGATTTCCATGCACTTAAATTAGTAAAATACACTGGAAAAATGCTGAAAAAACATAGGGAAGAAATGTTAAAACGTTTATAAAGACATTCAAATCTAACATTTTGCAGAGAGCCTCAGCCTAAGGTGAACTACAATCCAAAGTAAGTGTAAGATTTCTGTTCAAATCCTCCATCCAAAGATGCATGAACCATCCAAATTAAGTTAAAGGCTTAACCTAAACGGTTTAACCTATCTTATTTTATATAAATAAGAAAAAAAACAAAACAAAAAAACAAGTCAATTAATGCCACGAGTAAAACATACAGTAATTAAGAATTGTTAAACTATAGTCAAAATGCACTTCCTTTTCAAGATACATGTTGTGTTGGTCTGGTTACATGTGGTCTAATGCTCTAGTGGTTGACCTTTTAACCAGAATATGTTTGAAGGAAACTGGAACGCAAATTTTTCTGACCCCTGCAGGCCAATTACAAACAAGCACATCCACTTGGCAACTGTGGGGGAGCAACAACTGATGACCAGAAGATTTATGATCCAACTGCTAAGTTGAATAAATCTGAGCTTTGAAATAAAAGCAGAGTCAAAGTGCTGCCACAATGAAAGGGCAGGTGGTGATTCACCCGTGTCCCAGGTTCCTCACATCGTAATGACACATTGTGCACACTCAACGGGCATGACTGCCATCGCTCTCTTCTGCCTTCTGTCTGCCTCAGAGGGTAGCACCGATGAGTTATTTTTCTGCAGCCTGGCACAGCACGACACACTCAGCTCCCCAGATGGTCCTCACCGTGATGGAGTTCATCACCATGTCTGTTGCTGGGCAGCATGTGTGGGCCAATGTAACATCACTCACACAATTGGGGCAGTTTGACTTAGCAGAAAAGAAAAAAATACAGCAGCCACCAGCACCGAACAAAATTTCGTCCCCACCCCCAAAGCATCCTGCTTTTAAGACCTGTAATGTCTGCC